GTGCAAATTTCTGTATGATATAGTTTGTGAGGGTAGAGAACTTTTTTAAAAAGTGCCAATTATGTATGGTAAATTTTTGTGACGAAAGCGAACATTTGAAAAAAGTGCAAATTCTGTATGATAATAGTTTGTGAGGTAGAGAACTTAAAAAAAGTGCCAATTATGTATGGTAATATTTTGTGACGAAAGCGAACATTTGAAAAAAAGTGCAAATTGATTATGATAATAGTTTGTGAGGGTAGAGACTTTTAAAAAAAGTGCCAATTATGTAGGTAATATATTTAGCGAGCGAATTTAAAAAGTGCAAATTCTGTATGATAATAGTTGGTGAGGGTAGAGAACTTTTTAAAAATGCCAATTATGTATGGTAATATTTTGTGACGAAAGCGAACATTTGAAAAAAGTGCAAATTATGTATGATAATAGTTTGTGAGGGTAGAGAACTTTTTAAAAAAAGTGCCAATTTAGTGTATGGTAATATTTTGTGACGAAAGCGACATTCATGAAAAAGTGCAAATTCTGTATGATAATAGTTTGTGAGGGTAGAGAACTTTTTAAAAAAAGTGCCCAATTAGTATGTAATATTTTGTGACGAAGCGAACATTTGAAAAAGTGCAAATTCTGTATGATAATAGTTTGTGAGGGATAGAACTTTTTAAAAAATGCCATTATGTATGGTAATTTTTGTAACGAAAGCAAAACATTTGAAAAAAGTGCAAATTATGTATGATAATAGTTTGTGGAGGGTAGAGAACTTTTTAAAAAAGTGCCAATTATGTATGGTAATATTTTGTGACGAAAGCGGAACATTTGAAAAAAGTGCAAATTGTATGTATATAATAGTTTGTGTAGGGTGAGAACTTTTTAAAAAAAGTGCAATTAGGTATGGTAATATTTGTGTGACGAAAGCGAACATTGTGAAAAAGTGCAAATTCTGTATGATAATAGTTTGTGAGGGTATGAGAACTTTTTTAAAAAAAGTGCCAATTATGTATGGTAATATTTTGTGACGAAAGCGAACATTTGAAAAAAGTGCAAATTCTGTATGATAATAGTTTGTGAGGGTAGAGAACTTTTTAAAAAAAGTGCAATTATGTATGGTAATATTTTGTGAGGAAAGCGAACATTTGAAAAAAGTGCAATTAATGTATGATAATAGTTTGTGAGGTAGTAGTACTTTAAAAAAAGTGCCAATTATTGTATGGTAATATTTTGTGACGAAAGCGCAACATTTGAAAAAAGTGTGCAATATTCGTATTGAATATAGTTTGTGAGGGTAGAGAACTTTTTAAAAAAGTGCCAATTATGTATGGTAATTATTTGTGACGAAAGCGAACATTTGAAAAAAGTGCAAATATTGTATGATAATAGTTTGTGAGGGTAGAGAACTTTTTAAAAAAGTGCCAATTAGGTATGGTAATATTTTGTGACGAAAGCGAACATTTGAAAAAAGTGCAAATTCTGTATGATAATAGTTTGTGAGTGTAGAGAACTTTTTAAAAAAAGTGCCAATTAGGTATGGTAAATTTTGTGACGAACGAACATTTAAAAAAGTGCAAATCTGTATGATATAATAGTTTGTGAGGGTAGAGAACTTTTTAAAAAAAGTGCAATTATGTATATGGTAAATTTTGTGACAAAGCGAACATTTTGAAAAAGTGGCAAAATTATGTATGATAATAGTTTGTGGAAGGTAGAGAACTTTTATAAATAAGTTGCCAATGTGTATGGTAAAATATTTTGTGACGAAAGCCGAAACATTTGAAAAAAGTGCAAATTCTGTATGATAATAGTTTGTGAGGGTAGAGAACTTTTTAAAAAAAGTGCCAATTATGTATGGTAATATTTTGTGACGAAAGCGAACATTTGAAAAAAGTGCAAATTCTGTATGATAATAGTTTGTGAGGGTGAGAACTTTTTAAAAAAAGTGCCAATTATGTATGGTAATATTTTGTGACGAAAGCGAACATTTGAAAAAAGGGCAAATTATGTATGATAATAGTTTGTGAGGGTGAGAACTTTTTAAAAAAAGTGCCAATTAGGTATGGTAATATTTTGTGACGAAAGCGAACATTTGAAAAAAGTGCAAATTCTGTATGATAATAGTTTGTGAGGGTAGAGAACTTTTTAAAAAAAGTGCCAATTATGTATGGTAATATTTTGTGACGAAAGCGAACATTTGAAAAAAGTGCAAATTATGTATGATAATAGTTTGTGAGGGTAGAGAACTTTTTAAAAAAAGTGCCAATTAGGTATGGTAATATTTTGTGACGAAAGCGAACATTTGAAAAAAGTGCAAATTCTGTATGATAATAGTTTGTGAGGGTGAGAACTTTTTAAAAAAAGTGCCAATTAGGTATGGTAATATTTTGTGACGAAAGCGAACATTTGAAAAAAGTGCAAATTCTGTATGATAATAGTTTGTGAGGGTAGAGAACTTTTTAAAAAAAGTGCCAATTATGTATGGTAATATTTTGTGACGAAAGCGAACATTTGAAAAAAGTGCAAATTCTGTATGATAATAGTTTGTGAGGGTAGAGAACTTTTTAAAAAAAGTGCCAATTATGTATGGTAATATTTTGTGACGAAAGCGAACATTTGAAAAAAGTGCAAATTATGTATGATAATAGTTTGTGAGGGTAGAGAACTTTTTAAAAAAAGTGCCAATTATGTATGGTAATATTTTGTGACGAAAGCGAACATTTGAAAAAAGTGCAAATTCTGTATGATAATAGTTTGTGAGGGTAGAGAACTTTTTAAAAAAAGTGCCAATTATGTATGGTAATATTTTGTGACGAAAGCGAACATTTGAAAAAAGTGCAAATTCTGTATGATAATAGTTTGTGAGGGTAGAGAACTTTTTAAAAAAAGTGCCAATTATGTATGGTAATATTTTGTGACGAAAGCGAACATTTGAAAAAAGTGCAAATTATGTATGATAATAGTTTGTGAGGGTAGAGAACTTTTTAAAAAAAGTGCCAATTAGGTATGGTAATATTTTGTGACGAAAGCGAACATTTGAAAAAAGTGCAAATTCTGTATGATAATAGTTTGTGAGGGTAGAGAACTTTTTAAAAAAAGTGCCAATTATGTATGGTAATATTTTGTGACGAAAGCGAACATTTGAAAAAAGTGCAAATTCTGTATGATAATAGTTTGTGAGGGTAGAGAACTTTTAAAAAAAGTGCCAATTATGTATGGTAATATTTTGTGACGATAACATAAAATTATGTTCTTGGATGCAAAGCTAAAATAGAGAAATCAGATTCTATTCCGATATTTGTACATGTCTTCGTATTTTCTTTTTATTCAAATTTTTATTTTTTTTGATTGGGCAGTTCAACAAGCATTGTCCAGGCTATAACTTTGCTGGCTTTGGTCAAAAATAGTCCTTCATAAAAATAAGATTTAAATTGTTAAAAGTTTTATTCACTTCATGTGGTAAGATTTATTTAGGAAACTTTACAGTTTTGGCAGCCGTTTAAGGGTTTTTATCGATATTATCATTAAGCATGCACCAATCAACCTACCAAAGAAAAGGTCAAAAAAAGTTAGAGATGTTTCTTAAATAGAGATGAAAAACGTATAATCCCGGATCTCAGCCATGTAAAAACAGACATCCCCTCTGTATACTCTAGAGCCGTATTTCAAGAACATTAAAAGCACATTTTTTCTAACAGAACTGATAGAGATTGAAAAATATAAAATACCTGGTATTTTACAGAACATTGCGTTGATATTCTGTAACTAACAATGGTATGTTTAAATTTATAGATAGCTTTTTGAATTGAGTTTATAAAACATTGTTATAATGTAATTATTTACGGTAGTGATATGCCCCTTGTTATAATGGACTCATATACGCGGATGTAAACGTTTACTTAGTTTTGGATTGAATTGAATTATAAGTTAGTTGTTGATGGGTTCTGTTACAGTTGAGTTGAAATTACAAATATTAGAATTTTCTAAAACTGTAACTGGGCAACAACTTTGTACTATCCTCTAATGTTACCATTACAATTTGATCCAGCAATTATACGATCTTTTGTACCGTTTGTACTACATTGTTGTAGCTGAATTTTAACCTATTTAATTCTTATCAGGATTGCTTCATTTATTCATCATTTTTTCGAAACATTTTACAGAAAGTTATTCCGTAGGAGTCTTATAATAAATAAGAGCTACAATACAGTTTTAGTAATTTGCAGCATACCTTAACTGATTTGATTTTTTTTCATTTGATCATAATGATTATATCTATTTTCTATGCTATATCAGCTATATTTTTGTCACAATTTGCTGGAGAAAGCCTCGCAAAAGAGACTTGCTAACTTTCACATACACTCGTACGGGATGTGCCATTTTCGGAGGTACCTGTTATTAAGTAGACAATAAACTTTGGGGTATCATTTTTGGCAAAATTTAACATGACCTTGAGTTTTGGGATATCGTCGTTAAAAGAAGGTTAAAATGTTCTCGATAACTTGATTGAGTTGTTGGATTTGTTTAAATTAAATTGAAATATATGCCTTTCATATTGTATCTAAATTTTGGAGTAGGGTTTTAAAATTTATAAATTTTAGGGCCTGTCTTCATATTTCAAAATGGTACACTCTCGTTCTCGGTCTATTGAATTTACCCTCGCCCCCCCCCCCCCGGGGGGGGGGTAGTTTGGTGATCTCTATGGTCCACCGTACTAAATGACCAGTTCTTAACAGCTCCAAATTGTTGCTTTCGCAATTAAAAATCCGGACCTTGAGCATTTGCCCTGTACAATTTTTGTTTTTTATTTATCTAGTGTCAGCATCGATGTAGTGTCTAGTGTCTAGTGTCTAGTGTCCTCAACTTTATATCCCCTCCAGGTATACGACATAATCCTAAATCTACTTGTGAAGATACTGTTCAAAAGTTTGTTGAATTTATATTAGACTTTGTTGTTTGAAACTTGTTTTTGAATTGTTCTGGAAATTGAAATCAACAACGCTTTGTATTAATTTTAGATACCCTCCTATGTCATGACGACGAGCTGGAAGGGCGAAGGATAGCATTTATACTATACCTGGTACCTCCCTGGGAAGAAAAAGACGGAGGTATTCGATACTTTCATGTGTTTTTGAATTACTTGCTTCCACAGTCGCATTCATAGATAGGCTTGTCACACACTCCTAGCAGAGATGGATGGATTTTAACTAAAACTCCTTGTGTTATAAGATCAGTAGGCCTTTTATTCAAATCGAACATTTGTTTGGCTCAAATTCCTGCTTTCTCTAAGCATTGTTCTTCCATCAAACGTTTGATGGGAAAAAAGAATATCTTCAATTTTGCGTCACAATCTGAACAAAGCAGCATTAAATTTTTGAATTACTTGCTTCCACAGTCGCATTCATAGATAGGCTTGTCACACACTCCTAGCAGAGATGGATGGATTTTAACTAAAACTCCTTGTGTTATAAGATCAGTAGGCCTTTTATTCAAATCGAACATTTGTTTGGCTCAAATTCCTGCTTTCTCTAAGCATTGTTCTTCCATCAAACGTTTGATGGGAAAAAAGAATATCTTCAATTTTGCGTCATAATCTGAACAAAGCAGCATTAAATACCTCTCAGGCAAAATCGGTTGAGTATTCTTAAAATTACGTATGATACTGCCAATGAAAGATTCAAAATTTGCTAATGGATTAATTTTCTTCTTGCCTCGTTCAAAAATTCAAAAAGTTTGGTCTTGAATCAGGACTCAATTACAGTGTTTTGATAGAAAAAGAACCTACGCTTATGTGGTCGTATCTCAGCCACTTTTGTAAACACTCAACTGATTTTGCACATAAAGAGGTATTTCATGATGGTTTTTGGATATATGGTCAAAATTGAATAATTCTAATAATAGAGTTTTGTCACTTCATTACTCCGGAACACTATTGTTGGAAGCTGTAAAATTCTGGTACAATGTAAATATACCCTTTTTTATCGCAGTGTAGTATTTGGTAGTCAAGGAGTTCTGATTTATCTTTTTATTTTGCTTCTAAGCTGACAATTCAAAATTTTTAACGATTTTCGAAGAAATTTGCTTACTATTTTTTGCTATTTTTGTGTTTTGGCTGAATCATTTCTGATGAATTAAGTCATTTTATTTGTTCATTTATTTATTTATGTATTTGTTTATTTATTGATTTATCGCTCTATTTATTTATTTACTTATTTATTAATTTGTTCATTCATCAATCTTATCTATTAATTTTTTATGTTTATATTTTATTTGTTTTTATGTCTTTGTTTAAATGTGACGTCATAAAAACATATTGTCAGAGTTTTTTAATTTTTATAACATGATATTTCATTTCTTTGCTTCAGGAACCTTGGATTTGTTCTCTGTGGACGGTAACACGCTTCTTGTATCATTTCTTATCATGCAATAATGAACGTGATTCTTTTTCAACCAATTTTTGCTTTTATAGAGGTTAACTCTTCTTTTATTGCTATTCTTGCCTTGTAATTTGCTTCATTATATTTGGCCAACATTTGTAACTTTTGTTTGTATTGTAGAGCACGGGCAGCCAGCTGAGATTGAAAAGGTCCTTGTTCCTTCTTGGAATAGTCTTGTTTTCTTTGAAGTGACGCCAGTATCATTTCACCAGGTAAACCTTTTAAAATGCTCGTACGAATCCTCATTGGAAAGCTTCTTTGCAAAATTAGACCTTTCAGACGGCCCTTTTCAGCTTTTCCTTTGTCAGATCAGTGTGCAAATGTGGCACTTGATAGAATCGTTTACCTTAAGTACGCGGCTGGTAAAAGCAGAAGGACACAACCGTTTTCCGATTCAAAGGGATTCTTCTCATTGAAAATCACAGTAATAAAGCTTGCGTTAGTTTCAATTTTATTTTGAAAATCTTTATCATCAACAACTGCAGATAACTATGGACATATATCTTTGGTCAAAAGTGCGGCAAAGTCAGATACGCTAGCCATGTATGCAGTGCTTCATGCTTTAGTGAATGTGGTTGATCTTGTGTTCAAGATGTCTATCACAGTTTACTATGCAAGGGGACGGTAGTAGAATTGGGATAGGATGGTTTCACTTCAATTTCCCATCGATAAATCAATGCCTTATCCACCGAAAACTGCCAAATGGCACTTGTTACCATTTAGTTTCATGTATTTCACTTGAAACTACTCTGGAAGGATTAGGGTACCATTTTCCAAACGATCGAAAATTTTTCACGATTACGATCGCACACATAGTATGGTATCATCAGCATAGTTGCATATTTTGCTGTTCATCATAAGTATACTAAAGTCATACTGGTAGATATTGAACAAGAGAGGCCCCAGAACAGATTCATGCGGTACGCCTACGCTATTCTTCTTTCTTTGTTCTGAAAGACCCATTTACATTTCCTCTCTGCTTTCGCCGACCCAAATAGCTATGGATAGCTGCAATGTTAGTCGATGCAACGTATGCTTCTAAGGTCCATGCGATCAAAGGCTTTGGAAAGGCCCATAAGCACGTAGTCTCCTGAAATGCAACATCTTTAGCTAACAAATTAGTTTCATTCAACTTCAAAACTATAAAACCCGTCCTTGATGAAATTTCTTTATGTGGTCTTGAAAACATATCAGTAAGAAATTGTTCTTTGCCAAGGTAGAGACCGACTCTTACGACATCTCTCTTCAAATTTCCGACCAAGTTTTCGAGTAGAGACTAGACTAATTAAGCGCGAGGAAACCCAATTTATGGCCCCTAAACTTCTCCTTTTTATTCTGCTACTTCTTGAAATTTATATGACAGGGTTCTCTCTGCATCTGATTTTTATCAGCCATTTTGTGGGATATGATGCGAGAAGTCTGGAGTATTATTGAATTTTCGCTGAAGCTGTCGTTATGCAATGCATAATAGAACTAAATACGCCCTCGTCCAGTTTCTTTCCTACTAAAATGGCTTAAACCATTTGTCAATCATTGTAAGCCAATCAATAAGCGCGTGAGGGGAATCATGCTCAACGATTGGTTATTTTTTGATTGACAGATGGCTGAAGCCTGTCGATTACCATTAACTACTTTGACCCAGGCAAAAAGAAATCATTTTTGGGCAAGATTATGCTATGTGGGATCTTTTAATTGAAAGAACTTTATGGTTGGAACTCTTTTTAAGATGTAATATAGAAATTCCAATATTACACTATTACCTTAAGGATTTTTTCTCTTTAAAGTTTTTTCTATCTATATTCATTGATTGTAATACGGGTGGAATTAACAGTACTTTCATTTTTCAGTTGAAGTTCTGTTTGGTTTTTTATGTTTAAGTTCGACTGCATACAATTCATTATAAAAAGACTTTACACCTAAAAGATTAGGCAACTAACAAATCAGACAACATTAGAGAAAAGATATTCCTAAAATAGGTCAACACATTCTTCATCACTTGATAATTTTGAAAACTTTGTTCCTAGCTCCAAGATGTTTTTACTGGATTACAATTTTCCATCTTAAGTCTTCTTAAAATATTCTCAATTCACTTAAGGTGACTTAAAGACAGTTTCTGCTGAATGATTTCGCTTGATTTATATGCCGAGAATATGAGCCTCTCCTTGGTCAACAATATCAAATTTCTTAATTAGTTGAACCTTCTCTTTCTGCAGCATACTTGTGTTATTTGATGCAATTAGTATATGATCTACATATATTGCTAATAGCACATACCTTTCTCCCTCTTGCTTAATATAGAAGCACGTATCTAAGGTGTTTGCTTCAAAACCAGCTGATCTCAAGTACTCATTAATTCATTATTTCATTCCAATAACGAGCTGCTTGGCGTAGTCCATAAAGAGATCTTCTCAATTTGCACACATAATCAGGGTGTTTCTTAACAACATGGCCCTCCGGTTGTCTCATGAAAATTTCTTCTTCTAAAGTTCAATTTAAGAATGCTGTTTTACATCCAACTGGTGCAAAGCAAGCTTACAATGATGAGGCATCTCATTTGAGGGACGCAATGCTGATGGACGTTTTGCTGGCAATGAACGAACTTGATTCAAATCTCCTCATATGTAGCACTCACCTGAGCTGTATCTTCCTCCTGAACCAAATTATCTGTCTGTTCTGACACATCTCTACTCACTGGTGCATCTGAACTTTGATCAGAATTATCCTCAGTCTCATCATCTTCATCATCTTGGTAATTAGCGCCGCAATAATCAATTGATACAAGATCCTCTGCAGCTACAACTGGATGAATATTCCGAATATTTTAGATATCACACAAAAATTTAGCTTCATGAAAGGTAAAATTACGGCTAACAGTTACTGCTGGTGTCTGTGGATCTATCAAACGGTATCCCTTTACATCGTCTGAATAGCCGATGAAAACTTTAACTTTAGCTTTCGCATCAATTTTTAAACGCTGCTGCTTTGAAACATGTACAGTCGCAAGACACATACAAATGTGACAAATTAGGCTTTTCTCAATGAATAATATCATAAGGTGTTCTTCCATCGTTATATGAGTGAGGTGATCTGCTCTTGAGATATACAGTGGTACTCAATGCTTCTGCCCAAAACTTCTTAGGTAATTTTGCATGATGCAAAATAGCACGCATATCCTCAGATATTGTTCTGTTTAAACGCTCTGCAACTCCATTTTGTTTAGGCGTGTATGGAGCAGAATACTGATGTTGAATACCTTTCTTTCTGCAAAATTCTTTCAATGCATCGGAAGAATATTCGCTGCTGTTATCACTTCTGATAACCCTAACTGACCTTCCTGTTTGTGCCTCCACCATTGCAACAAAACTTGTGAATTTTGTAAACACTTCTCCTTTTGTACGTAGCATGTATACAAAAATCTAACGTGATTTGTCATCGATAAATGTGCAAACAAATCTAAACCCACCTATTGAATCAACTTCGAAAGGTCCCATAACATCACTGTGCACTATTTCTAATATCTCTTCTGAATTGGATGAGCTTGATGGAAATGGGTTGCTATGTGGCTTTCCTTGATCACAACTTACACAGAGGCTGATTTTTTTGATAGGATTGACACCTTCTGCTACGTCTTGTAATTTACTTATTTACTGGGCCCATAACCTGTTAAAAATACTTATACTGCCTTGCTTATATGACCCATGCGTTGATGCCACACCTATAGAGAGTAATCATCAAGTGGCTTTACTTCTGCTACACAAACACGATTTGGCAGTACTACTTTAACTCCAAAGAGCCGCTCATATTTCTATCCAACACCTACCACTTTGCCCTCTGCAACTATCTTACAAGTCTTTTCAGTAAAAGTCAAACTAGCTCCATGTATTGTCATCGAATGCACTGACAAAAGATTATATGTAAGGTCTGGAACACACAAAACATTCTGGAGGTCTACAAGCATTTCTCCATGTTCTAGCTTTATTTTCTTGATACTGTCTTCACCTACTGCATATATCATATCACAGTTACCCGCCAATCTTATTTATTGTGGTTTCTTATAAGCATAATAACCCTGGAGCAAACTTTGGTCAGAAACCATATGCTGACTTGCTCCAGAGTCAATAAACTCTGAAGAGTGTCAGACGAAAAGCTTAAGTTTACTAAATGTTTGCTTTTTTCAAAGCCATTTAAGAGTCAATACAGTAAAACCCCGCAAACAAGAACAAAGGAAAATAAGAACCTACCGACTGCTTTGTGGAAAAAGACACCCAAAGATAAGAACCAAAAACATACTGATTTCTTTTCATGTTCTCATGAGATTGTACATAATAAATAAAACATGAAATTCTCAAAGTCATGAAGTATAGTTTTCAGGTCATTGTGGTTTGATGTATTGATCTTCAGAGCCATCAACTGTCATATATCTCCATCTCTTGAATCTCTTCCTAGGCCTCTCCTGCCCATTTTGTCGCCAGTATGCGTCTCTGCCTGGCACTTATCTTGTCATGCCATTTCTCTATGTTTTCTTCATCATCAAGCCGTTAATCCATTCATTTTTTTTTTCTTTTTGAACATTCTTCCTATGCCTGCATCAATTGGTTGGACTTTGTCTGTCTGCGAATCTGGAAGCAAATAAACAATTGTATTACATGTTTCTCTGCATTTTCAATGAAAAACTTTCTCAGTTTGAAATGAGACATTATCTGCAAATAATACATTCTCATTTTCCTTATCAGTGATTCCTGGTTTCAGTGTTCCTTCTGTCCATTCTCTATTTGTTTTACAATCCATCCAAGCATTTTGCTGGAAGTAGACATCAATTCTATTGTCATACAGTAATTTCTCGTCCATAGCTAAATTGCCTTCACCTTTAAACACGATGGCTGGTTTTACTGATTGCTTTCTTGATCCTCTGATGCACAACTGCAAAGTAGCTTGTCTTTTGCCTAGGCCACTTGTTGGTTGACTAACCCATATCTGCTGCTTGGAGCCTTTATCGTCATAGGTCTTTCCTTGATTTACAACAAAAGGGAGTGGAACTTGATCCACATTATTCCTGTTCTCAGGGAGCCAGCGGCCCTACTTTTGATCATTGCATGCATTTGTATTGCGCTGTCTGCCTGTTTTTAGAGATTTTCTTAGACTTCTATGAAGCATCTGAATGGTTTCTCTGCAATCCTCTGATGAAATATTGTTAATTCTGTTACGCAAGAAA